CTGGGGTGTGGCTGTTGGAAGCAAGGACTACCTTTACAGACCTGCGACATGTGGCATTGGAAGGGGGTTTCCTCGGTCGGAAAAGTCACATGTACAAACTCACCGTGAGATTTGGCGGAGATAGTGAACAACGAATAATGTTGATTAGTTTTCACTGACTTGAGCACGTGTCACGTGTGCTAGGCTCCAGCTCATTGAGGAGAGCTCTGATTTACTTCCCTAATGTTAAATGGTGCAAAGTTTTAGGATGGCAAAGGTTGACTTGGTGGTTGTAAATGAAGTCAATGACTACTAAGGTGGGCGCTGTTACTCCGTCTCAACTTCCAGGTTGGAGGCCACAGAACATGACATGTGTTTGATTGGAGACGTTATGGGACATGGCTTGCAGTTGGCACCAGTGTCGCGTGTGAATGATTAACTTGTGTCTGATGCCCAGTTATTTGCGGGGTAATGGCGGTTGGTCGGTTAACGTTATGTTGTGCGTAGTGCTGAATGGGATGAGCAGGGAAATTTTCAATACAGAGTCGGCAAAACGTGACACAAAATATGTCGTCCACCGGGTGTTTGATAAGGTGTTTGGCAAGTTCCGTAGGATGGTTCGGGTGAAACTACCAAAGCAAATGATGAGCGTCTATCGAGTTAGATACTTTGCTGAATAACAATAGTGCAAAACAAGAATTCAACTCAAGCAACATAGGGCGCATTGATAAGTGATACAAATTGTGAAAAAAATAACAATAAGATCGATCACTCATGCGTCACTTCCTTGGGTCTATGTGACACAAATCCGGTATGAGGGTACGATAAAGACATTCGACAATTGCACAGCTTGGGTAACCAAGTACTGGGAGCTAAGAGCAACATTCAATCGTTTTTCTTTTTTGAAAATATCCAAGTTAGGGGAGAAGACAACCGAGATCGAGAGTTCCAAAATTGGCAAACCCGAGGGGAAAAGTAATTCCGTCGACATTCTAGGCGGCTGTATTGTTCACTTAGTTTTAGTTACCTATGAGCTTGGTGTTGTGACTGAGTTTCAGGAAGTGATGGCATATTTGGGGTCACTCAATGAGCCTATCAAAACCGAGGATATCAAAATATTCGTCCTGACAGTTTGCGAATGCTGTCGTATATAGCCACTGGCAGTAGAAGTCATGTATTTCGGGGCAAGCTCTGTCCTCTGCAACGTTTGTAACTTGCATTGCTGCGGAGGATAAGACGCGCTATATTGCAATGAGCTTGAAAATCATGTCGATCCGTCGCTGTACCGCGTGGCTCAGTGGCATAAGCTGCTGGCTGGCGGTGCAAGACGCTAGTGGTCATGGGTTCGAACCCTGATGAATCCGATGGATGCGCACTACTGATGATGCCCAACAAATCGAAACGACCGTCTAGTGATTTTCCGGGCGTGTGGAGGATAATTTGATTTGGAAAATACTGCGAAAAAACACCCCACAATTTACATCAAAATCCTCCTATTCATGAGAGTGGGAGAACTCCACGTCGATCATACCGACCCTGAAAATTTGGACCTGTAGACATAGGTACACGAAATAGTAACATATATGTTCACTAGTAATTGCTTTCTCTCCTCTTCGTTGTGTATGCCCCTGGCTCGCACCTCATAACGCATCAAACACACGAAAGATAAGAAAGAAAGATATTAGAAAGAAAGCAACACAAGTAGACTAGCTGAGAGCCTAGTAGCGGATGAACTTCCTTTCGGGGAGTTTGTAGCTACTATATACGAGGGCTCGCCCAAACAGAGAAGTGGATGCGCGTCAGCATGTTAGGATGAACAGACGAATTTTCTCGCTATGGGAAGCGTCACATTAATTGTTGGCTCATGAGGTTTCAAGACTCTCTCAAGCTGCAGGTGGGTTTGAAATTTCTGACAAAATGCTTCGACAAAAATCGCGCTAAATTCCTCCAAAGGTAACTTGATCATCGACATCTTCGATTTTGGGCACGTTTCCGAAGTAAAAAGGGCGCGCGTTGGATAGTAATGCAGTACGTTGTGATCTGAATAAGAACAGGCGCTCTAGATCAACCGACAACCATGAGATGATGTGCGCCTTCTATAGCTGATGCAGATGTTGCAAGTTTGAGTGCAGTTTAGCCTGTAGCTCAGTAGCCAAAAGGTGCTGCGGATGTTGTGGTGGCAGGAATACAGGCAACAGTATTACGCCAGTACGGTAACAACGCTTCGCTGTCGCACAACTATCACCGGTCGCATGTGGGCTAAGGATACTGCGAGGGTCGCCCGGTCCCTACGCAGGCTCGAACCAGCGCCCTCAGGTTTGTGATCCTCGAGACTAAGGGCCGACACCAATGACGTTAGGAACACAGACGGAAAGGGCGGTGGTTACTGTCAAAGCGACACTATCGACGCTGAAATGGCCTCAGAACCGTTCCGGCTCTGATAGACAACCAGATTATCTACTCTTGCACCCGAAACTAGCAGGACATTTGTGTCTTCAGCCATTGGAATAAGAGACCAGAACTGGTAAAGGAATTTCATCATACTGTCCTTGGGATGATGCTAGCTAGAACACAAGTGAAACAGCAAAAAAGCGCATTCCATATTAGGCAACCGTTTACAGAATCAGTTAGAGCTTCGAAAGCGAGACGCGCACATGCGATGGTTGAATGAGATACAAGCAAGAGGAATAGCTTCGGTTTACGTCCCAGGTTAACACCGTAAATACCACCAATTATCAACTCATCACCGGAGAACAGAAGCTTGTAAGCTCCGATACTGGGATTCCCAGTTGGTAAGCAGCAAAATGCTAAGTATCACCTATTTGTTGATCTGATAGCGTAAGGAAGCTAAAAGATGCAAGGTCGAATGGCACTAGAAGTTAGAAATACGACCCAACTGATTGTGTCAAGCGCTTCCGAAGTCATGACCCTACCTCTGTTACTGAAGATTTTAAAGTCCTAAGTAGTCTCTTGGTGTCTAAGGTGAGAGGTAAGGTCCCATTTGAGAGTGCTTTTCGCAATCCAAACACGCAGCGCGGGTACTATATAACTAACCTAAAAAGGATTTTGTTCTGTTCTCCGAGCTGAAGAGTTTCGTTGCAAACGTTTCATCACCAATCGTGGTGACTTCTTCAGTGCGTTATAAGCAGAGTTGCTTTGTCGATTCTTACCGACGAGCGAGTGACACTTGAACTTGCTCAATTCGATTCAGGACCTGAATTGGTGATGAAACGTTTGCAACGAAACTCTTCAGCTCGGAGAACAGAACAAAATCTGAACAGATCACCCGAGCTACAAGTATTCCGATTTATTGCTAACCTAAAAAGGAGTTTATTGTATCGCTCAGACAGGATAAGATCGAAGACACGAAGCGCCTAATTCTCACCATTGGGGCAACAGTCTGATGAGTGTGCAGCAATCAAGACGTTACTGTCCAGTACAAAACAACTTCGAGGGAGTGAAAACCCTGGAGAATATTAGTGGCCGATTTGCGGAGTGCGGAACTAGTTAGGTAACAAGCTCTGAGCAAAGAGTAGCACTTATCCATCGTCCGCCAAAGAGTGATGATCGCTTTCTGTCTCAATCGAGCTGCGCCTGTTACCGCTAGGTTCAGCTGTTGAGTGGTCCGCCGAGGTAGATAGTTTTATTGCAAACGTTCCACCATTAATCGAGATGACCCCATAAGTGAAGATGAGTGGGTGGGTTGGTGTTTACGGATGGAAAGTAGAGAGAAACATCGGTAAAAATACCGGAGCAGAGTGCAGGGTGTGGAGAAGACCATACATCCTCACTGGCTTCATCACACGTGTATGAAGAAGATAGCTACGATCGAAAGTAAGTAAGGGAGTGGAAACGCGAGAAGGGAGAGAGCTGATCATGGATTAGCCATCTACAAAGAGTTCAAATGATATGTGTATCCACATCGATGATCAAGTAAACCAACCGCTCAGACGCATTGGCGGTCGAATTTCGAAGCGAAACAATCTAGGACCAAGTCGACGAACATAATGGTCAAAGTGAACAAACCGGGTACGCTTACAACTACTGCAGCAAAGAGAACGCGCAACTCGACGCTTTTACAACTACTTAGAATTACTAAAGTATCGGTGAGTATAACGATGAAGCCAAGTTATTGACGATAAAGCGTGTATAAAGATTGGAGTAGAGGCTGACAACATCCGTCTATGAAAGTTCTCATCATCTGCATCCGTAACCAACCAAATCTTTTGCACTGTCGATGTCACCTCGGCTGGTAAGGTAGCATTTTCAGGTAAACTATCCAACTGGGCGAACCCCCCAATAAATAAAAACCCAACTTTCGCAACAGACGTTTAAAGTTATCCTGAAATGATGAGAAGATGGTGATCGATCTACCACAACATCCGTTGAAGAGGGTGCTCAGTGTGTTTGACTGACCACTAACCATTTACTGGTCTGGTACTAGTGGTAATAGGAAAGTGCCGCCTAGCGCAGCTCACGCAGGGAAACAACGCATAGCATCACTATCTCGTAGCGATGGACCACAAGATGGAGATTGCCAAAATATGTCCTTATCAATGCACCACCGAACCCAATTGTTACAACAGTAGAAAATGTTTTCGGTCTTTCTTAAACGGAATACTTGGTCATACAGCAGACGAAGAAAGATCTTCGTCGTTTATCTGAAGTTCCGCATATCTAAACACCGTGTTGTCGGATTCCACGGCTGCATTCGAGAAAATAGACCCTGTAAAATAGTTATACCCAGTGGGTGTCAACGAGGCTCACGTGATCCCGTAAAAGGGCCTCAAGTTGCTATCACCAGCCGCTCAGCCACAGGCATACGGCAGTGGAGCGATAGATGGAGACCACGGCCCTAGGGTCAGATACCACAGATTGTGAAAAGAAAAAAACGATGGTGTTGTCTAGAAACCAGTGCGGATGTGAACTACCTGAACGTACCTTATCCATTTAATTTGGCCGAACTTAGTAAGATGAAGTGTGTAGTATAGGGTGACAGACATAAATGGCGCGCCATAACACTAGAGAATAAAATGACTAACCTTGATTAGGCGTTTTTCAGAAGAGTAGTGAATCGCGATACAATCGATGCTCTTCAGCCGATGTCCGCGGCAATAGTAGCTCCATTCGCAAATCTCATTTTGTTCGCTTTTGTCGCGCACATCCTTGACGAAAAGCACGGTATCCGGAAACATAAGAGCGTACTTCTCCAAACACTCTATGTTCCGCAGTAAATTATCATGTGAGTTGCTACGAGAGGGCAACAAATAAGACAGTACTGATTGATGGAGGTTGAACGACAACCGGAGATTAGGATACGCAAAAGTGCATTCGTTAAGTCGAACGATAGGTTGTCATTACGGTCCTCCGATTATTCCGGCACACTAACCTACCCATCGCGGCAGCAGTGTGGCGTTTGAATTTCTGTACCGAATGGCTGTGTAGCAAGGTGGGAAATTGCTATGAAGTCTACTGCACATGTTACATTTGGAAAAACATGGAGGTACACTATTCGAATTGAGATTCAGAAAGTTGACGGCCGTGTCTGAGTTACGACATACACAACTCTGATTTGTGCAGGAAAAAGCAAGTCCGGTGAACAGCTTTTCTAAGTGAAACACAAGGAGAACGACTTTATCCCTTCCATCGAAGTACCCGAAGTCACCGAAAGTCACAAACAATTCCGGGGTATCAAATAAAGTGGTCATTGCACTCCTCCGTCTACGTCAATAGTCACATTGCAATAAAAAGCAAACACCGTCGGCGAGTAGTACTACCGCTTTCAACAAATACAACAGGAAAAGAACATGGCTTATCGCATGGGCGAGCACAATGTGTAGATTCATGACGATGTGTATCATTCGCATGATAAGTGGTTGCTACTCATATACTATAAAGGGAGTCATAGGTTGGATAGTAACAACATTCGACGCATCGCTATCATCAGCATAGTCACACATGAGCTACTGTGCAGTAAAAATAAAATTACATAGTTGAAAAAAATGGAAGCAAAAAAGGAAAACAGCCTATCTCATTAATTGGGAATGAGATCTTAGTTGGAGGGAAGAAGCACAGAAACCCGCAACAAAAAGGTCATTGAATTTGGTAACATCATGTAAACATTGTCGCTAACCTTACATGTTCATAGTCTTTCGAACTCCAAATCGGGAGTCGGTGCCTGCCCGTACCCTACAGGTAACGGGCCTGTTTCATAATCTTGCGGCGCGGGTTCGACCTTGCGTAAGTGACCGGGGGCCCTCGCAGTATCCCTAGCCCACATGCGAATGGTGCAGGTTGCGTGACAGCGAAGTGACAATACTGCGTCCCGGCGTACTGCTGATGTCTATTTTTCGAGAGTCGGTGGGCAACAACCGAGGCTAAATTTGACTTGGGAGCCGTCATTATCCTCTTTTCGAGTTGCAAACTAATCGCGTGAACAATGAATGTCGCGGGGGCAGGCTTATTGGTGTGCGTAACACATGACCATTTTATCAGAATCCGGTGCGGTTCACTCGCTTTTGTTGCATCCAAGGCAAGGCGTTTAACTGTGGTAGCTGCGTGAACCTAGTTCGCTTACATCATGTTGGCTAGTTTTACTGTCTGTGCCAAGGCAAACATTAACTGAACTGTGTTCACTTGTTTCCTATTGCCTGAGCTCACCAAAGTCAATGCATGTCAGTTTAACGCCAAGCTAATCATCCAGTGAACTGTTTTAAATTCTGCGAAGCGTTGTACTTGATGTTAATCATAATACATTTCGCGTACTGCCGAAATCGGCGCATTCTGCTGTCTTGTAGCACGAGCCTGCTTGTGGCCGAAAAGATCACCGGGCTGTCCTGTAATCAAGCGGTCACGGGTTCGAGCCGGTGTAAGGGACCGGGTGACCCTTGCAGCCCACACGCGACTGGTGGTGGTTGCGTGGCAGCGAAGCGTCGATACTGCGTGCCGGCGTGCTACCAGCCGCATACTGCGTTCCACTGAGAGTTGTAGTTCCGCACGGGCCAAATTGCAACACTAAATACTTCATTGCTCATGTAATGTTCACGCCACGACAGTTAAACAATAAACACACCGGGATCTGAACATAGCTAAACTCTACTGGGATTTGCAACCGCACAGAGAAGTTGAACGGGTGGCTGTGTTATAGACTCTACACTTCAGGGCGAGAATGAGGTCGTGCCGGCGCCACAGGTTGAGAAGATTAGTAAAAGCGCCTCTAATGTCTCTATATGCATCGTGAGTACATTTTCCATTCCACAAGGCGTCACATAGTTAATCATCTAGCCGAAATTTCCGAAACACTTCTAACTGATCCCCACTAAGGGGTAGTGAATGTCAATCTTGGAGGAAAACTCTGCACTTAGAGTATACAAAGCACAACCTGAAACGACTGATAGCCTAATCTGCCCAATGTTGCTTGGCAGATCTGCAAAGTGGTACGGAGTATGACAATATCACCGGTATAACTTAAGTCTGGAAGCAGTTCCACGCCAAAGCCAAATTCATGAGCAAGCTTTCCACAAAGTCGCTAACAGTGAAGTGTAAAAAGAAAGGTCACAATGGGCATTCTTGTCGCACGCCGCTGGAGATATTGAAGATCTCCGACAAATTGCCAACACTCTGCCCGAACTATACGCATTAACCGCTTCAGTGGTAGTTATGTACTTCTCGGATACGTTTTACCGATCTGACAAAGCAAGTTGATCCATGTAATCAAGGAATATGATTACGGTGGGTCGTCAATATGGGTGGCGGCTCTTCAACAATAAAAATGCGATCAGTCCAATTTTTATTTCGACGAAACTCGACTTGTCCTTCACGAAGTCAGCTTTCACGAGACCCAATCATTCTATGCAGATTAATTCCGATAAGGACAAGAGTGGTTTCTCTGTCAAAGTCGATTATGAGATCTGTTACACGAAAACGTCTGAGGAACATCAACCAGTGACCTCGACTTTGTCAAGTGAGCGCTTAATCAGACCGCAATTCAGTGTACTTTAATATGCACACAAAACAACCGGTACATGTCAATGCGTTCACAACGGGCGCCCGCCGAAAAGTACCCGGAAGTCAGCATATACAAGTACATTGTAGGGGTTCACACTCGTGCGTTAAAAAGAACGGCAGTTTCGAATGCAGACTCTCAAAGTCAGTGATCGCCAGGTGACCGGGTTGCGTCCGTGGCTGATGGGGTTGGCGAGAACCATATAGCTCTGTGGCGGGTACTGTGCCGAAAGTCAATGCGCATGTTCACATAAATGTAGGAATCGCTCACATTTATCGTTATGTAAGCTGACACCGCGTTGGCCGCCCAGATACAGTTCACCACTGTACAATTTCCCAAGGTGAGCATTCAGAGAACTAGCCAGTGCCTCTGTGATGAAGAATCTCGTTCAGTGGACGATTGAGGTCAGTCATCTTTCGTGGAATTAGCGCGCCAGTTTGTGTGGCCGTAAGCAGTTATGACATGGTTGCTGGCATCCGGTTTCCGATTTGCCTGTCACTGTGGGCAGCCACAGGACGCCTGCGCCCAAAGAAGGACCATGGGTGGCTTGCGCTGCACCACCCACAGCTCCATCCACACACCCCAGATCCAGTGTGAATCCGAAGGAGTAAGACCGGGAGGCATGTGGATGGGAGCCACGTTTCATCAACGGAGCCGGCCCACACTCCTTCACAGGCAAACACAAGCACGCTGTATTTTGGGAATCAAGCGCACACAATACGATGGCTGGACCGTAGCCCGCTCCACGCTGTGCACGGAACCACTTCGAGCCTACCACGGCCACAAGGACCGTGCATCCGGTCCCCTCCAGCAACAACCAAGTATCTCCTGGAGTAAACATGAACGAGGTAGTGGGTACAAAGTTGGACTTGGGTAATAGACAGGTGGGCACCTTGTCAACATGTACATCAAGCGCGGCCACACAGGAGATATCAAGCAACAGCCAATCAGTTGAAATAACATTATCAAATAAAATATATCTGTTAAAGCATACGGCTATTCAAACATAACTCTGCTAAGTTAGAATATGAAGTAAATTGTTTAGCAACGAATTCGCGATAAGTACAAAATGTCCAAAGTTATACAAAAAATGCCACAAACACGATAAAGTTAACGAAGAGAACCACAATTAGCATAAGCAACGAATGCCAGTTAATAGATTATTTCGGTAGACAGAACAAACCAAATAGGGTGGAATATTTATCCAGCTTAAAAAGACTTAGTTTAAGTATAAGTTGGTTTAGCCCAACTGCGGTGAAGAAGCATCATGAATGCAACATCAACCTCAGCATGGGGCACGCAGTTATGACATACAAGCATAAATACTCTTCGCAAGACCTGAGGGTTAGGACGAGCTAGCCTTGCTGTAAGCTCACATCCTGCGACTGATTGGAATCTAGTCATCAGCATCATCCTGGGGGGTCAGAGCAATATTCACACCGGCTTTGCCTCCATTCGAAGCTGCGGTATCTCCGGATAGATGCGATGAAAAAGTGATACCAAAGTCACACGAAACGGATGGTAGAGCGATCACAGAGCTCGAGTGACGTAAGCGAGTTTTTGATAAGTAGCAGTTCTGCAGCAATGGGATCTCCAATATTCTAACAAGTTTTGCCTGTTGGCCAAACTGCGACAAAGTGCACACATTGGGGCATACAAGTCTTAGTGAAGAGTGACGGCTCCAAATAGAAACGGATGAACTTCGCTTGGATATTGACTTCTCGACAGGGTAGGGGCGCTGTTCTAGGATCTCATGTGTCGGAAGAAGAAGACAAGTGCCTATCAACGCAAGGTGGCGTAGTCAATTATTGGGGTCGGAGAGAGAAGACAAAATCGAAGTTGGCGCGCAATGCCAGAGTAAAAAAGCACAAGAAGTGGAATTGAAAGGCAGGGTATGAGCAATAGACCTTCATACCTGTTCATCTCGAGCGATGCGGCGGGCGGGACGATATCAATTATCCTCTGTGACAGTCATATTGTCAACATATTATTTGAGGAGGTTTTCGTTGTACTGTGTGAGCAGAATACTTTCAGATTGCCCAAATCAAGATAAAAAGCTTAGGATACTCACATAAAGCCTTTGGTACAAAAACCTGACCGCATGGCAGTGGAAGCTTGGTAGTGGATTACATGGAATCCGTTTTAGGGAGTAATGATCCACTCTCATCCTTGCAGCAAAGTTGGAGACCAGAAGACTGAGTTCGTTTGGCTCCTAACTATTGACCAATCTGGAATGAATAACCCT